AAAGCAGAAGGGAATTTCTGCCCATCCCTGCTGACCTTTTGATTGAATAAATTGGGGACACTGCTTTTCAAAATAGGGATTTGTGGACACCATTGCACTTACTTCAGTGTGATGTTCCTCTGGTCTCCCCCACTGCACTTCCCCCATTTTTCTCGGAGTGGAGCAAAAGAGTCCTTACCACTTCCTAGTTCCCAGTCACTGGGGTGGTGGATCATGGAGGCTTTCTCCTAAGTGTGTTTTAGACTTTTAACTTTCCATATATCCACTCAGTGAGAAGAGGGCAAAGCTGGTTTCCTTCCATTTCCCCTGGATGCTTATTCCCAGGTGGACAGTTGTCGGTTGGAGTAGGATCAGCCTATGCGAGATCCTCCTTGTAATACTGGGTTCAGGATGACACCGCCCTGTTCATATGGTTGTGTGCAATAGAGGCCTCCTTCTCATTAATTCCAGTTGCAGGTGGTTCCTTCCGTGCTCCTATGGTTGAGTTTGGGGGAATGCGTCTGCCTCATATTACTGGCAACAGGACGCACGAACACTGTTCCTATGGTTGAACAAATGTTCCATATCATCCTCATAATTCCGGATGCAGATTGTCTCTTCCCTGCATTTATAGTTTGGTGAGTTAAGATTTTGCCCTGTTCTTATGGTTGAATTGAGGCAACAATGGGATTCTATAGTGCCAAGTTCATTTTGTTGTACTTCTTCTTGCTCCTACAGTGATTTTGGGAATTTGTCCAGTTTTGGCCACATTCCAACTTCCTCTTGGTAATTCTGTTTCCTTGATGTATGACACACTGTCTACTTACAGTTGGGAGTCATGTGTATATGTAACACGGCCCACATGCTCTAGCCACATTGTTTATGTGACTCTATATTTGTTTTTATCTGATTGATCCTCAACCTCCTAATGTCGATGACGAGTTGTGGAACCTCATCTGTAAGGTTAAGGTTAGGTATCTCCATTGCTACTTCAGGTGTTGTTGTTTTTTTTACTATGGATTGCACCTCTTAGAACAAATTACACTTGTGCACATCCTTTTTTCTCTCCTGTAACAGGTTCATTTCCTTCTTCAAGGGCAAAGGGCATACTTGTTCCAGAAGTTGTGTGGTAACCCAAATGCATGCTTCAGCTCATCTTGGAGCACACCCATTCATTCTGAGTGGTTACTTTCTGCTTGGTTTCAATGTTGTGTGCCTATACTGGCTCCTCCACATTTGCAATGTGAGATTCTAGCTTTGTGTGAGAGGAGGTAAAGACTGTTTTGGAAGTTGACATTTTCTTACACTGAAAATGTATTTCTGATAGGTATTTACCTCCTTTCACACACTTCCCACCCTTCCTCCCCACTTCCGGTGTTAATCTTTTTGATCTTCGAAAGTGAGAATTGAGCAGGAATAGCAGACGGAGTTAGCTGTGCCAGTATAAGTGGCACAATACTATTGGTGGAGAGTAGTCACATGCTTTGTACATGTTTAATAGTGGCACCAAATTGGTGCACTGAGTGTGAATTTTTTTTAGCAATGCTTAGAGGGAACAAAGCAGATAGAGAAGGCTTTGTATGAGAGGATGTAAGTACCTATTGAAAATAATTTTCAGTGCAAGAATATGTTAATGTATAGATATTTCTAAGACATAATCTAATTTTATAGCCTCCAGTCATCTTGATTTACAGATACATAAAACAGAAACTTAAACCCACATTCCACATCCTACTGTCAATAAATGCATGCGAGTTGCACATGTATTACATAATTCATTACTTTGTTTCCCCATAATTTGAGCTATTTGCTTACTAGGCCTTTAAAGCTTTATTATGCATGTTTAATAGTTTGTTCAAAGAGCAATAACATTAAATAAAAGTAGATGTAAACTGATACAAATGTGAGGCTGTTTAGGGTAACTAATTGTAGTTTTATTTTTTCACACACAATTCTTAGTTAAAAATACTTAATTAGAAAATATGATTTTTTGTGATAAAAGACATTTAAAATATCCTAAAAGTATACCAAATTTCATGAAGATACTACATTAAAAGTTGTAGTATTTATAGTTTCACAGTTATATAGTGGTTAAAAGGTCAGTTAAAATAACCGAGCACGTACGTATCAACAGTTAAGTAATTTTAAGTTAAAAATTTGATTTTCTGGTATGATAAACTGGATGAATTTTTCTCTGTCTAGAATTAATAAAAATCATAAATATTTAGTTTTGTGCATCATGGAGTAATAAAACAATTAACTTTTTTTTTCTACTATTTCAGAAGGTTAACAATGAAAGAATCTAAGAAACTAGATGATAACTCAAAGATGTTATCATCTGAACGTTGTGAAAGTCCAAGCAGTTTTTCTGTTTGTTCTGTGTCAAGCCAGCACAGTGTAAAGAGTTCCCAAGAAACTTCCTTAACATCTAAACCTTCTGGGAATAAAACAAAAGATAAAGTTCTAAAAAAGGTGAAACAAAAGCTCAAAGATGAGAATAAAAGTAAGTCAAAAACACCTACACCATCTCATGTGTTTGAAAAGGATGCTAGCTTAGGAAGTAATAAAAAAGAACCAGAAGAAAAAAAACAAGCCAAGGAGAAAAAGGAAAAAGAGTATACCAATAAAGATAAGGAGAGAAGTAGAGTCAAAGATAAAGAGCAGGATCATGGATGTTCTGATTCTAAGAGGCCAAGAAAAAGTGCCATTGTAGAGAAAAGCCTTTCTTCATCTAGTCAAGTAAGCAGATGTTCCTTCTCATTTTATGTAAAAGTTGCTTTTCAAGAAAAGATTCATAAATCAAATATTTAGTGAACTTATCTTACAAACTAAATATTACATATTTAGTATAATATTTAGCTCTTAAGGTAAATATACAGTTGCTTCTAGTGTAAAATGTTGCAAAATGTGGCAAGTTTTGCTCTGTCCTCTTTTACAATAATTGTTTGTTTTTCAGGTTGGTAAACCAACAACAGAAAAACCTTATAGCAACTTAAAGAGGGACCATGAACAGAGATTACAAGGAAGCAAGAAAGAAGTCACTCCTAATTCTTACAGTGAATTGGAACATACAGTACCTGACCAGCTGGCCACCAACAGACTCCGAATAGCATCTGAAGACCAAGACACCAGGTATAGCAACTGTAAAAAAGAAACTGTTAATTTATTATGTCTGATTTAATACAATATTATTTCAGGTCCTTAAACTGATGCAATAAAATGTGTTAGGTCAGCATGAGATATTAATGAAATAACTTATGCAATGCTAACAAAGATAAGATGCTTTATCATATTTTTCTGTAATACAGAAAAAAAAAATGTTTAACCATTTTCTTTTTTCAACAGAAAATGTGTTGAGAACTTGTGTACTAAATGTATAGGAGAAATGTTAGGTAGCAGTTTTGATACGAATAATTAACATTTCAGTATGTCACAATATTAGTGGTATGAGTGAAAACACTTTCAAACACCTTTCAAAAAGTAGCTGCTCTTTAGGAAAATTTAACTGTCTAATAATACATTGCAGTTCATTTATATATCACAAGAATTTGTGTATTTACAATCTAATCAGCATACTTATAATGTGTTCTGTCATTGGGCAGGTTCTTCTGGATTATTTGGTAAAAATAATGTGACGTCCAGTTCATGCAACAATAATAATTTAATGCTTTAGAAACAACATTTCAACAGAACATCTGAAACTAATCAATGCCTAACCATCTACTTACAAATACACTTGCAGGATTTTTTTGCTAATCTATCAATAACAAAAACATGCAACTGTAACTCTTAAACTCAGTTATTCGCCAATTCATTGAATAGCTCACTGGTTCACCCATTTTTCCTATAATTTATTGTTTTTGAAAATTGCCCTAAAAAGGCTGATATTATGCTGTTTTTGAGTAGAGAATGTTAGTAAATTATAATAGAAATTAAAAAAATAAAACAGAAAAGAGTAATCAGATAAATTCTAATAAGAAAAATACTCAACTATCAATTGATTTAAGCTAACCAATACAAAGAGTATAAATTGTACTATAATCTAATTCGTCTTAAGTTTATCTCTACTTACGTTTATCATCTAGACTTCTAATGTAATTTTATGTATCTTACTATTTGCCATCATCTATTAATCCAGACTGAATTTCATTATAAATTCAGTTCCTCATTAAGTTTGCTTGAATTCGATATGTTATTCTCAAATATCGCTAATTTCCCCAAAGAGTGGAAGGTAGTTCTGCAGAATATAGTGATCTTCGTTAAATATTTACTGTTAAATAATTGTGTTCTCTGGCTAACTGAGCTTGTAAGAAAGAAAAACAGACTGAACATGTATGTATGATTAAAACAACCAATCTTTATTCAAACAAATACAGTGAAAATGTGTTTTACTTGCACCAATGGACAGTCACCTTTACTGGGTTTGAAGTCATTCTGAGATGTTGTAGACCAACTAATTTTAATTCAGTTGTATTCAAGACTAACCTGGCTTAGATCATGTTCCAGACTGTTTCTCCTGAGATGCTCTTTCATACTGAATAAATCACTCGTTAACCCTTTCCACAGGTCAAAGGCCATGTCATCTTGTTTGTTGACTCGCATTCAAAAGTTTTATTGAACTACTATTTTATGAATTTATGTCAATAAGTTTGTATCAAATTGTAGATTATAATTCAAACATTAATATTATACATTATTTAATTTCTTAATTTAAAAGTAGATTTTAAAAAACCAACTAAGCATCGATTTATGCGTGTGTCACGTGGTATGTTCAATGGATCATTGGTTCATATTAGATGTTTGTGATGTCCAAAGTCTATAATTTCATATTAATTAGAAACTCAAATTACCAATATCAACAAGCTAGAATATAAAATTAGAACCTCCTATCTTTTCTATTTGCTGAGATATTGCTCATGTACTGAATCAAATATAGTGACACCACTCACCTCTTTCCATTTTTGGAAACACTCCTTATATACACTTACTTCTGTCTATGACATGTGAATAACCAATCGAAAGTTCAGAATGCCCCCCTAGTGACTTTCTCACCCATTTTCAAGTATTACGATGTCATCGCGTTCTTTCGATACAAATCTTCAAGCTGGTAAGGTGAGTCTTTGGTCAGCTCGAAATTTCTTACTTTTCAAGACCCAAATACAGCTTAATTACTAAGCTTGATAAATTATAGTGGAGTTCTATGGTATTGATATAGTAATTTATGATTTTTTGGTTATTTCAAATGTATATATAAAACCTAAAAAAAATTATTTCATTTCACATCCTTCACATGTGACATTTTATAATGCTTAGCAACCTACGACAAGCAGCAAATGAGTACAAAGGTTGTAACTAGAAGAGGTAATTGTTTGCTTTACTTCTTTATTTACTGTTCTATGTTTTAAGAAAAATAAGTTTAAGAACTTGTTTCAAAATAGCAATAATCTATATACATATATTATGTATAGTAATTGAAATGTAACTGTATTTTACAAAATACTAGTCCACTAAAACACAGCTAAGACAGGTCACTAAAGGTCAGTTTTATATTATTGGATACGGTAACATGAGTGCACGTGCACTGCATCATTGTAACTTATGTATTGTTAGTCAGGCATGGCTTAAAGGTCAGTATAATAAAACTAATAAATATATATAAATTTAAAATGTTATGAGATTTAAGCTATATAGTTTAAACATTTGTGTTTTCATCTTATAACTTGTAATCATTCTAGAACAAAAAAAGGCATAACTTATATTTATTTCCTAATTTTTTATGGTGGTTACGAGATCGGTCAAATCGACCAAACCCGTACAGAGATTTGTTAGAGAAAATAACAGATAAAATAGTTTTTTCCTTGAGAAACGTTTGTTAACTATCTCAGTATCTGGACGTTATACAGAATTTGCATGTGAAATTTGAAAATTTTCTGATACATAAAACTATTTTTAATCTTAAAATGAAAATTACTTTGCATGTTGGATAGGCAACGTGTGAAAAGAAAAAGGGCCTGAGAAAAACATTGCTTAACAAACCTTAAGACTTAAAAAAATCTGATATTTTGCATATGAAACCCTTGTAATGTTTACTGATAATCTGCCTAATTTCGTGAACATACAATTAATTTAAAAGTTATAGCAGAAAACTATAACAAAGACAAAATGATTATGAGGTCAGTCCCAGAGACTGAGCCTGAGCCTGTGCTAAAAGAATTAACATCAAATTTATCTACAGTGACTAGTGCCTCTCATGACTGGTCACAACCTCAAGAGATTACCTGACTGCCAATGTTAAAGATAACTGTTTAACTTCACACACTACAGGTGACCTTGTAGCTATCTTTATCATAGGAAGACAAGAGGTACTACTCTAGATAAATGACACAGAAAAATAGGTAGCTAGATCAAAAGGAGCTTAACTGTTTCTTTGACCAGTGTGTTATGTGGATCTTGCACATACACAAATAACAAATTTTGATAAAATCATGTATGAATATAAAGATGCATGATATGCTTATAGATCACAATAGTAAGAACTAGTTTGTATTGCATTTATCCATTTCATCAAAATACAAACTGAAGACTGACAATATTTTACAATTCAATCCCAACAATTAGAATACAGCTTTATTTAAGTATATTAATTTTAATTTTTCAAAGTTTTCATGTGTGTGTGTTCCGAATTTAGTTGATGTCTTTATAAAGAGAATGTAGTCAACTGTACTTTGCTTGAATCACCTCTACAGGCCACATTGATCATTCAAAAGAACTTGTATTAAGTAAAAAGTTCCTGGAATATTAGGAAGATTTTCCATCTTGAGTACTGCTACATTATTTTGTGTGTGTGTGTGTTGCAACAAAATTTGCATGTAAGTACTGTTCCACTAGTTTATGTGTGGGTGAGTGAGTGAAAGTCAACTTCATCAACAAAATATCACACCTCAAGTCCTACTTCACTCATACATGTCTGTGTGTAAAGTTATTTTCACAAGAAACCTTTAGCTGTTCCAATAGTTGTTTTGTGTGTGAAAGTATATCTCATGATATAGCTTCAATCCAGGTGAAGTTATGGCCTTCGGAGTCGTAGAGTAATAGATCTTAATTGCAAATTATTTGGAAAATAATAAACATTAAACAGTTCTTTCTCGGTAATAATCACAAATAACTATTACAAAAAAAAATTAATTAAAAATTTTAAATATCTTACACTGAGAAGACTTGTACACTTTTGAAAACATTATTTTGAAAAAATCATAATTTTTGAAATGAGTATAATTTCAAGGTATAAAATTTCATTTTTTGCAAGACAATCCTCACCTGATTATTACCTGAATGAAGCCAAGAATCTCAAACATCAAGCTGACAGAGAAGTAAGTTTGCTAATCTTAATATGAATTTTTCTAAGCATATTGAAGATATTTATTTTATAAAATTGTGACTATTCTTTCTTACGTAGCTCATTTATTTGTCTTATATAAGACTATTTTAGTGTGCAACATAACTTGATATTTACAGATCCCCTCAACAAAATAGCATGTTTTTTCCATTTTTTTTTCCTCGTGTTTTTTAAGTCTGTTTTATATATTTTGATTTGTAGGGCCAGAGCTTACAATATCTTCATTAATTCTGATTATTAATGACTGGTTATATATTTTGTCAAACAAAATTGATAAACGAATGTATGTTTTCTCTATTATTAAAGAAATTACAAACACTTTTTTTTTGCTTTTTTATATAGAAAAATTTGTTTAACTGGATGCTCTGTTAAGTATTTTTTTCAAAAACAACTGCTATTGCATATTTTGTTAAAAGAATTCACAGCATAATGTTCAGTTAATTTTTAAGCATTTTGAATAGATGGTGAAAATAACCAGCATTTAGAATGCATGTATACCTCATGATAGTTCATTTTCTTTCTTCTTTTCCAAAAATATCTAAACTTTATAATGGCTTTTACTCCATACTTAAGTTTCAGAATATTTTATTATAATGTTTTTTTATTTTATAAAAAGGGAAAACTTAGTCACCATGTTAACAATTGTTTCTAGCTCTGTAATTCACAGGATTAGATCTCCATTTTACTGAACGTGTAAAATAGTTTATTCAAATCTAAATCTAAAGAAGAAATTTTCATACAATTTTTGAAGTTTTTACATTAATGGGTAAAAAAATAATAATCACCGAGGAATTCTGGTCAAAATATTAAGCAACTCATTTTTCTAAAGCTCTTACATATACTGAATTGTAGGTGGCATATTCCACTTTTATAATAAAAAAATGTAATTGAAACCAGAACTATGGTGGGGGGGGGGGGAAATGGAGCTAAAGATTTGTTCGTGTTTAAGTCAGACGTATCTTGATCACATTGAAATTAATTGAATAGCTGGTACCTGTTACACTTTTTGTTCCTTTTATTTTAAACATAAAGGAATGGATGATATACAATGTTATATAAATTTAACTAATTTCTTTCTGTGTGTACAAGTAGTTTATCATGCAGCTAATAGATTCTTAGGTCACTGTGATGTATTTCTTTGTGTTAACAAGCTACTGGGAAATATCTCTATTTGTTCTGTGAGGCAGTAATCATTATTTGTAATTTATTATATTCCTCATTATGTGTATAAGTAATTTTGTATTTTCTTTGAAATTTTCCAGGTTGACATAACAGTCCAAGCTATAAAGTATTTGGAAGCTGTTTATTTCTTCATATTGACAGGAAATGCAATGGAGCATAGCCATGTGGAGTGTGAAAGAGTTTATAAAATGTACAAAGAAACATTAGACTTAATCAGGTAATTATATGTTGTTTGACTGAACTACTAGTTAGACGTAGTCACTTTGCACAGCAGTGAAGTAAAAAGCATTTCTTGCTTACAGATGCATATTTATAATTCTCATTGTGTACATATTTCATACATTTGTTTGTAAAGCTATTAAAGTACAAGCATAATTTTTTTTGCAAATTTGTATGTACATTCACTGTGCAAAGATACAGAGCCAAACTATATATATTATTAACAACGTAAAGCATGCTTTGTTTAAAGATATTTATATATATACTGTTTCAAGCATACAAGATGAATTTTGTTCCTTGCTTACAGAAGTTTCTTTGCATATAATATATAAGGCTTACAGACTGGAAGTGTTATTTTATGCTGATAAAAAAATTTAATTTTGTGTGAGATGTCCAGGTAAAACTAAACTAACTTCAGAGCAGTAGTCCTACTTAATAGCAGAAGATTCAGCCAGTGTACCAATTCTGAAGTTTATGTTAAATCAACAAATGATTGTGTCCTAAATGGAAATGAAATAGAGACTGGACACAAAGTGAAACACAAAATGAACAGTCTTTATTGTAACAAATATGAAACACAAACACAGTGCATGTTCATGCTATTTACCTACATGGGACGATTGCTTTTACTGGATCCTTCGTATTCAACTTCTCAAGCTTAATTCATGTATCAGACTGTTTGAAGGTCTGTTCCAGACTGACTAAATCCAATATTCTTTAGTTTGCAAGAAACATTATATTTAACCATAATGACTAGTGCTAACCATGTGACTGGTCATTCTCATTTAAATGTAGGTAAGGCTGTAACTTCCATATATCACCCAAACAACCACTGAAGGACACTGTTGTCAACATCCTTGTGCAAGTTGCAGTATTGCAACAATATTCTCCACCTAGGTGGAACAGGTATTATCTACAAGAGAACAAAAAAGGATCAAAAGCAGCTGGAACAAAATTAACATAACAGATTTCTTCAACAAGTATTGTGTGAAATGTGCACATACAGAGAATAAATTATAAATTCAGAATACATACTATAACACTACAACATTAAAAGAAGATAAAAATGCATAGTATATTCATATGACATGTATTGTCTAAAGCTTACCAAGTGCAAGTGTTTCTCCTTTGTTTACAGATGTTTACATGTGTATTGTATAAAGCTTACGTGTTGTGTGTGTTGTTTATTGATTATGGATTAATGCAATTTTAAACATAAAATTAATGTAATTTTGTAGGAAATTCAACAATTTTCTTGCTGTGTGATTATGGGTTTAAATATTTTTAAGAGTATCATGACCTTTGAAAAATTTTCACACTTATGGTTTAATTCCTTTGCACTTTGTTAAGAGTAATATTGAACTACTTTAGTATTTTGATCATTCTTCCTTATTATATATTGTTATATTTATATGAAAATATTGTTATATTTTCATGGACAATTCAAGTAGCATTTTATTTTGTATCATCATAGATATTAATAAGTGGTTGTACTATAGGAAAATTACTGTTGCTAGCTCGACACAGTTTAAACAGTAACAAGTATCATCATAAGTTTGTCACAGATGTTACTCTCCTCAGTAGGAGTGGCGTAATGAGTTTCTATTTGTCAAAAGATGTATTAGGGAAAATTGTAGAAAAATCAGCCATGTTATACTAATTCTTTCTTTTTTTTTAAGATATTTACTTCTATTTCAGTCCATGAAACCATCAGCTCCCATTTTCTCATTTCCTTTTAATTGTTTTCTATATTATTAGGTCGTCAAAAATTTAATGTCGCTTTTTGTTAGATGAAAAAACCCGAACAACTTATATTTCAAAACAAAACATTTATTCAATGAAATAGTCTCCATTCTTGTCGATGATGCTTTTCCATCTTACAATCAGGTTGTTAATGCCCTGATTAAAGAAATCACTTGGCTTTGAAGCAAAAAATATATCGTTGTCCTCTTTAACACCTTCCACATTTGCATACATTTTCCCATTAAGATGGTGTTGCAGAAAACAAAAAATATGGTAATCTGATCGTGCCATATCTGGAGAATATAGTGGGTGGGTGAGAACTTCCAAACTCAACTCCATAATCTTGTGTTGCATCAAACGTGCCACATGTTGACATGCATTGTCGTGGAGAAGAAGAACACCTTTCCAATTGATGAGTGAAGGGCATTTCTGATGAAGGGCTTGATTTAAAAGTTCCAGTTGCTGACTATAAATCTCTGCATTGACAGTTTGCTGTGGATTGAGGAGTTCGAAATGAATTACTCCTTTAATGTCCCACCAAATGCAAAGCATCACTTTCTGTGGATGGAGTCCAGGTTTTGAGGTTGGAAGTGGTTTATGTCTAGGTCTGAGCCATTGTTTTTGGCATTTGACGTTCACATAGAGAATCCATTTTTCATTACCAGTGACAAAGCAACGTTTACACGATGGAAACAATGATCATCGGAGAGTTCGTGAGGCACCCAAACACCTTCTTTATAAAGTTTTCCCATATTCCTTAGA